CCCATACCTGGTGGCGAGGGAGAGGACGACTTTTCTCCGGCCAAGTCACCTATCACTGTCCTCGGCAGGCCCTCATCTCCAGTCGCTGGAACGTCCCCCGAGACACCGGTTCGCCGGAAGTCCTGGCGCTGAGCTCATCAGCAACATGCCACTTCCCGTACCTGGTGGCGAGGGGGAGAGGACGATTTCGGAACACCGGTCGCCGAAAGTCCTGGCGCTGATATAATACCGACTGAATATGGTCTGGGAGACGCGAAAGTGCCGAATTCCGTCATCACGGCGCCTCAGATTGCAAGTACAACGCCGGAACTTGCAGCTGATGAAGAACAGAATCCTGCAAGACCTGCGACTACTAAAGACGCGCCCAGTGAGAATGCTGAAAATGTGGGTGTCTCCACACAGCCCAAAACAAAACCAGTCTCACCAGTTCCTGAACAAGGCCCAACAGCTGAGATCTCCGAAAGCAAAAGCGGGCACTTCGCAACCCCCCAGATATGGTGTTTCGAACAGCTACCTGCCGCCCAGTTCTGACTTCAAACCACCCCAGTCTGCGTACGGTGATCTTTCCCCGCCGACACCTGCCAAATCTGACAGACCCGATACAGCAAAAATTCCAACCTCTGAGAAATCGCCGGGCAGAGAATCATCAAGCTCGCCGGGCACTGGAGGCACCCCAGACACTCCTGGCAGCGGAGGATTCCAGGGTGCACCGGGCAGAGGATCACCAGGATCACCGGGTACTGGAGGTACCCCAGGCGTTCCTGGTATAGGAGGCTCTCTGGGTGCCCCCGGTAGAGGATCACCAGGATCACCGGGTACTGGAGGTACCCCAGGCACTCCTGGCAGCGGAGGATCCCGGGGTGAACCGGGCAGAGGATCACCAGGATCACCGGGTACTGGAGGTACCCTAGGCGTTCCTGGTATAGGAGGCTCTCCGGGTGCCCCCGGTAGAGGATCACCAGGATCACCAGGCACTGGAGGTACCCCAGGCATTCCTGGCGGCGGAGGATCCCGGGGTGAACCGGGCAGGGGATCACCAGGATCACCAGGCACTGGAGGTACCCCAGGCACTCCTGGCAGTGGAGAATACTCGGGTGCCCCGGGCAGAGGATCACCAGGATCACCGGGTACTGGAGGTACCCCAGGCACTCCTGGCAGCGGAGGATCCCGGGGTGAACCGGGCAGAGGATCACCAGGATCACCGGGTACTGGAGGTACCCTAGGCGTTCCTGGTATAGGAGGCTCTCCGGGTGCCCCCGGTAGAGGATCACCAGGATCACCAGGCACTGGAGGTACCCCAGGCATTCCTGGCAGCGGAGGATCCCGGGGTGAACCGGGCAGAGGATCACCAGGATCACCGGGTACTGGAGGTACCCCAGGCGTTCCTGGTATAGGAGGCTCTCCGGGTGCCCCCGGTAGAGGATCACCAGGATCACCAGGCACTGGAGGTACCCCAGGCACTCCTGGCAGTGGAGAATACTCGGGTGCCCCGGGCAGAGGATCACCAGGATCACCGGGCACTGGAGGTACCCCAGGCACTCCTGGTAGAGGAGGCCCTCCGGGTGTCCCCGGCAGAGGATCACCAGGATCAACGGGTACTGGAGGTACCCCAGGCGTTCCTGGAAGAGGAGGCTCTCCGGGTGCCCCCGGCAGAGGATCACCAGGATCACCAGGCACTGGAGGTACCCCAGGCACTCCTGGCAGTGGAGGATACTCGGGTGCTCGGGCAGAGGATCACCAGGATCACCGGGTACTGGAGGTACCCCAGGCACTCCTGGCAGCGGAGGATCTCGAGGTGCACCGGGCAGAGGATCACCAGGATCACCGGGCACTGGAGGTACCCCAGGCACTCCTGGCAGCGGAGGATCCCGAGGTGGACCGGGCAGAGGATCACCAGGATCACCGGGTACTGGAGGTACCCCAGGCACTCCTGGCAGTGGAGGATACTCGGGTGCCCCGGGCAGAGGATCACCAGGATCACCGGGTACTGGAGGTACCCCAGGCACTCCTGGTAGCGGAGGATCCCGAGGTGGACCGGGCAGAGGATCACCAGGATCACCGGGTACTGGAGGTACCCCAGGCGTTCCTGGTAGAGGAGGCTCTCCGGGTGCCCCTGGTAGAGGATCACCAGGATCACCAGGCACTGGAGGTACCCCAGGCACTCCTGGCAGTGGAGAATACTCGGGTGCCCCGGGCAGAGGATCACCAGGATCACCGGGTACTGGAGGTACCCCAGGCACTCCTGGCAGCGGAGGATCTCGAGGTGCACCGGGCAGAGGATCACCAGGCTCACCGGGCACTGGAGGTACCCCAGGCACTCTGGAAGAGGAGGCTCTCCGGGTGCCCCCGGCAGAGGATCACAAGGATCACCAGGCACTGGAGGTACCCCAGGCGTTCCTGGAAGAGGAGGCTCTCCGGGTGCCCCCGGCAGAGGATCACCAGGATCACCAGGCACTGGAGGTACCCCAGGCACTCCTGGCAGTGGAGGATACTCGGGTGCCCCGGGCAGAGGATCACCAGGATCACCGGGTACTGGAGGTACCCCAGGCACTCCTGGCAGCGGAGGATCCCGGGGTGAACCGGGCAGAGGATCACCAGGATCACCGGGTACTGGAGGTACCCTAGGCGTTCCTGGTATAGGAGGCTCTCCGGGTGCCCCCGGTAGAGGATCACCAGGATCACCAGGCACTGGAGGTACCCCAGGCATTCCTGGCGGCGGAGGATCCCGGGGTGAACCGGGCAGAGGATCACCAGGATCACCAGGCACTGGAGGTACCCCAGGCATTCCTGGCAGCGGAGGATCCCGGGGTGAACCGGGCAGAGGATCACCAGGATCACCGGGTACTGGAGGTACCCCAGGCGTTCCTGGTATAGGAGGCTCTCCGGGTGCCCCCGGTAGAGGATCACCAGGATCACCAGGCACTGGAGGTACCCCAGGCACTCCTGGCAGCGGAGGATACTCGGGTGCCCCGGGCAGAGGATCACCAGGCTCACCGGGCACTGGAGGTACCCCAGGCACTCCTGGCAGCGGAGGATCCCGAGGTGCACCGGGCAGAGGATCACCAGGATCACCGGGTACTGGGGGTACCCCAGGCGTTCCTGGTATAGGAGGATCCCCCGGTGCCCCGGGCAGAGGATCACCAGGATCACCAGATACTGGAGGTATCGAAGACACCTATTTCTATGGAGGATACTCGTATGCCCCGCCGGGCCAAGGATCACTAAGATTACCGGGTACTTTAGGCACCCCAGGCACTCCTGGCGGCGGAGGATCATCGGTTGCTCCAGGCGAAGGACCACCAGGCTCACCGGGAACTGGAGGTACCCCAGGCACTGCTGGCAGTGGAGGATACAAGTATGCCCCGCCGGGCAGAGGATCACTAGGATCACCAGGTATTGAAGGTACCCCAGGCACTCCTGGCAAAGGAGGAGCTCTGGGTGCACCGGGCAGGGGATCACCAGGATCACCGGGTACTTTAGGCACCCCAGGCACTCCTGGCAGTGGAGGGAACCAAGGTGCCCCGGACGGAGGGTCACCAGGGTCACCGGGGTCACCGGGTACTGGAGGGGAATCCACACAGGGACAGCGACCACGACCCCCCGTACAATGAGCCCGACTCGAGACTAGGCCCGCAGCCGGCTGCAGCCAAGCTGGAGCCCTCGCCCCGCCGTCCCCGTCCACCTTTCTCCCAACCGGAGACACCCGTCCGCGTCCCAGCTCGTCCAAATCGTCTGCCGACCTCTCCGCGCCCGAGCCATGGCGGATCGCGGCCCCTCGCTGCCGCCCTTCGACGCTGACGCCATGCCTGACTACGAGCCCAAGTTCGGCATGCGGCTCGTGCCGAAGACAAAGAGGCCGACGGTGGAGCAGGAGCTTGAGGAGTACCTTGGCTACCTTCCTCCGCTGGTCTAGACGTTTCTTCGCGATGGTGTGAAGGCGTGTGGAAGGGCAGGCTTCTCATTAGACCGTGAGAGCCGTACTGACCCCTGGCCTCCGGCTGTGCTCCGTGGCCAGAATGGTCGGTATCGATAAGTGTGCTTAACTCGTATTCGCGTTAACTTGCTAATGACTGCTTGCGTCAACCTATTTTTGCTCGCTTTAAGCGTGGAAATAAATCGAAAATAAATAACGAACTGGATATTTGTGTGTGTTTGATTGGTGACGTGCCGGACATCTCCGACAACTCGAGGCCACCGCTACCGCGCTGTCAAAAATGTCAAAGTTTTCGCCCTATATATTTATCGAGCAAATTTTTAAACATGCTTTGATGCCGTCAATTCGTTGAAATTGCAACTACGAGCAGTCAGCTGCTATGCAATCCGGTTTTTTCGGCCATCAGTCAAACGCTGACAGTCGATTGGTGTGCCTCTGACTCACAAGCCTAATCCACCGGGTCGGCCCGTCCGCCTGCCTAATCTCCGGACGACACGATGCAACTCCTCGAATAACCTTGGCCTTTCACCTTTGGACCACCTTCCTGGAAATCCTGTCATGCATAACGTTCCTCATTCCCAGCGGTGCAGGCAACGTCGGCCGACTCGAGCAGTCTTCATCACGGCGCGGCTGCTAATCCGATGTTAGCGGACGTCTCCAGCGGGAATCTCGCCGGAATCTCGCCGCCCAAGGTCGTGCAGCTCCGTACCGCGCCGGATCGTCGTCGAACGGCGTCTGCGGAGATGTCGTTACGCCCCTCCGGGCCCCGGCTCAGTCGGCTCAGCGAGCCGTCCTCCCCCGCCGCCCTAATCGGCTTTGGGCTGTATGGGGCGGGGCTGCGAGCCGCGCGGTTTGATGGCGGCGGTCGCGTGGCGGCGGGCCGGCCTCCGCGGCGAGCCCCAGACCAGCGTCAGGCCCTGACGGGATCGGCACTCACGGCGCGGCCCTGGTCAGCCGTCGCTGTGGTCGTGATGGCGTTGGCGTTGTCGTGTTACTGTTGCGGCGTCACGCTCGGGCGCCGCCAGATCCGCCACAAGGCAGTGACGTCAACGGCCGTCTATTGCAGCCTGCAAGCAGGACGGGGATATCATAGACATCGAATGCAACAGCTGCACCTGCATCAACAAGTTCCTGCTGTGCTCGCAGGAAGAGTGTCCCCCGGGTAAGTCTAGTAAGAGAAAGCTGTCGGTTTCGGGATTGCAATGCTTTATGATCTTCTGGCTCTTAGACGCAAAATATCGTGAGATGAGGCGGTATTTGTTAGGAATAAGCATGTTGCGGCAAACTCCAATCTCGAGTCACTAATATGTCACGAGTCAAATCAGCGGGATGACGACTTTCGCTGATCTTTACAGAATGTCACGAGTCAAATCAGGGGGATGACTTTCGCTGATCTGTATAGAATGTCACGAGTCAAATCAGCGGGATGACGGCTTTCGCTGATCTGTATAGAATGTCACGAGTCAAATCAGCGGGATGACGACTTTCGCTGATCTGTACAGAATGTCACAAGTCAAATCAGCGGGATGACGGCTTTCGCTGATCTGTACAGAATGTCACAAGTCAAATCAGCGGGATGACGGCTTTCGCTGGTCTGCACAGAATGTCACAAGTCAAATCAGCGGGACGACGGCTTTCGCTGATCTGTACTGAATGCAATACAAACGAACGTAGGAAAACAACAGAGCTCAGGACCTGCTTTTGCTGACGGCTGGTGAAGCGGCACGCCCTGCCAGGCGTTGTAACACCAGGCATTATCGGGAGCAAGGAGCTAATATGAGCGTCCTCATCTCGCTCGTCGTTCCGGGATCGGTGCTGTTCTCGCCGCACAGAGGCCATGGCGGCGTGATGTACCGTTCGATAAGCCATAGCATATTCACTCACTGCGTGGTCGTCGCTACCTCATTTCAGTTAAGCCCGGATTCTGCCCAAAGCTCACCAAAGGATACAAGGGCAAATGTGTCGAAGAGTGCACCAGCGACTACAACTGTGAATCCGACAGCAAGTGCTGTAACACGGGCTGTGGTCATACCTGTCAGAACTCAGGTGAGTCACGAGTGTAGGTGTTCCGCTCCGAGCCCAAACAGCTCTGCGGGTCACAGTGAGCGGTGGCGCCGGACATTTCGGTCATTTGGCCGTTTTTGATTTGTCAGTTCCGAAAAATGTCACAAAGGCCCGACTTCTGGACCATTAACTCATTTGATTCTCATTTCGTTGCGGATGATGCCGAAAGATAAATATTTTTTAGACCCATTGCCTTAAACTCTAGTTCAATCAGTTATCAATTTGACAGAGAGCATCACTTCCCTGAAAACAGAACTAAGCAGCTAGATGCATGCTCGACTTAGCATTTCCAGTCTAGTCAGTGTCATCGTACTCTAAATGTTATTTGCACAGCTCAATTTGCTCGCCGATTTTGCGGATTGCTTAGTAAAAATAAAACAAGTGAGTCTCGCGAAAGCCGGAAAGTGGGTTCTCACTTAATGATCTCAAGGACACGACGCACTGCTTAGGTGCGAATAGGCACTGCAACCGTTACGAGCTCAGGAAAATCCTCAGGCCATTCGGCCAGCATGGGAACATTGCTCAACAGCAAGGATGTTGGTCGGATACCGGTGCATGGCCGCTAGCAGACCCAAGGCGTGACGTAAGGCAGTGGTGCACGCGCAGTAAGACGAAGAGAGTAAGGCAATGTGTCGTTGTCAGAGCAGATCTGACACGGTCCGGACGGCGATGTCAGACAGTCTGGGATTACGAGATCCGAAGTCTATGTTCTTTGCAGCTCCGGGTACCTTAAATTTGTTTCGCTGTTGTACATTTCAAACGTTGCACTCTTTGATTAAGCCAATGATTAAAATCGCATACAAGGTACTTAGCAAAAGGTTCTGCGGTTTACTACGCCACGACGGTGACACAGTTTCCCCGGATCTTGCCTTTCAAACTGCGCTTATACAACATGCAGCGGCGATTACGATTTAGTTTAGAGCGCATCGGTTGCTGTAGGCTTGTTTGTTTAGGTCGGCTTACAGTAATGACAAGCATGAAGTAGCCACTAGTTACTTAGGCTTGCAGGACGCAAGGAATCTGTGTCGAGCGCATATACACTTCCTCCGCGCTCACAGGATCAGTGTCACCTGTTGAACAGTGCCGTAAATTGCTCCGATCGGGAGGGCACAGTTCACGCCTTATCTGGTCCACTTACTAGATAATGCCGGCGCACGTGCTTCATCTACGCCGTTCGTTAGAGATTGCTGGAGACGACTCATCACCCAGGTGTTCCGTTCTCACCAAACATAACGCAAAATGACAGCAGTAGCCGGAACACCCAATAACACCTATCGACCACCACCTAACGTGGCGCCGCCTGCCGAACAGTGCCGGTCCCCACCTAACGCGGTGCCGCCTGCCGGACGGCGTGCCGACCACCACCTAACGTGGCGCCGCCTGCCGGACAGTGCCGGAGGTCGTGCATCCGTGCCGGACGGTGCGGTTCCGCTGCGGGGATGAGACCCGGTGCGCGGCAACGCGCGGCCTCTGCCAACCGGGCAAGACGTGCCCTCTCTCGCCACTCTGCGTGAGCCGGACCGCGCCATTCTGCGAGAGCTGTCCTCCGGGCAAGGTGTGCGTGCTGCAGAAGCAGGCGTGCCCCAGCGGCGGCTGCTACCGACAGCCCATCTGCGTCCAGCTGTACAGGTACTGAGCAGACCGGGCGGCGCGGGGTGCTGTGGAACGCACCACTGGCAGTGGGTCACTGACGCTCACCGGCAGGTGGGCTTAGTAGTCTCATTGGAAGGGTCTTGACATGTCCTGACCCTTTGGTCTTGCCTTCTTTGTTACGGACGCGGTGTGCATGGTCTGCTTGTGTGGGTGATATTATGAGATTGGCTTATCTTTATTTCCGTTTTGGAACAAAGCGGTGTTATTCGAGCCTCCAAAGATTTTTCAAGATGTGTCTTCGTAATCATTGAGCTAAGTCGTGATAGGCTAAAATTTTTAATTGTGTATCTGATGGCTCGAGGTAGATTTGAGAGGAATTTTCAGCTCTTCACATGAAGCTGAGCTCTATGGGATTCAAGTGAATTCAGTTGGCAGAATTGAACTCTGATTTTATTCTTCACAGGTTTGTTGATGTCTGCAATGCTCCTGGTTATGATATACCAGAGTATTAACACTGTATGAGGGCGATTATGGCGCAGCACCACATCATCCGTTCTCCGGTGTTAATAGTTAGGCATAGAAATGATGCGTGCTATTTGCTATCACTCGATTTTTGTTTCACAGTTAGCTCCCGATGGCTTGTTGCGCAAATTAACTTATAGAAAAGTAATTAAACGGAGTTTAGATTCAATAATCACGTCGAACATTTCCAAGCTGTCTGTCGACACACGTTCAGGTCGGGGGTGGTGGTCGTTTTGCCCTCTCCATGCAAAGTTTTTCAGAATTATTCCCGAAAGCCGTGGCATAGCCACGCACAACTTTGCTTCGGTATAAGAAATTGAACAGGAGGTGTTTTGGTATAAACAATGGGGTAATTGCCCTGTACTGTCGCTGACCTATGGCAGGTCAAAGTCAGGCGCTGAAAGCGAAGACGGTTCCTGGGGAATCCTCCAACAGGATGTGATAACGGAGTGTTAAAGCCATGCATCTCTGAGATAGTCTGAAAATCAAATAATAGAATATGGAATAAATACAATTCGTTTCGACCTTATGGCATACATGATGGTCAGATTGAGGTAAAAACCAACCTGCTTTTTATTAGGAATGCTGTTCCGTGGGTAATTTCCAATGCTCGATTCAAATTAATTAGTCCCAGCGACCCGCAGCACACATCTTCCATGAACATCTTAAGGATCAGAGTTAAGGGTTAGATTAGGGCACTGACTTGAAGTCGTCCAGGTCAATGGTTTGTCTTAGGAGCAATGCGCCTAGCGTAATTCTGGACGCTTATTCAAATAAAAACAAAACCAAAACAGTCCAGTAAGTTTTTGGTCACCATGACCTTCTTAAGGTTTACAAGGTCATTAACCTGAAATGAACATCATTGGCCTTTCGCTCAGGACTAGTATCCAGATTCAAGGCGGTTACATGGGGAGGTCGGGGAACTTTTGAACACCGATCTAGATTTCGACCTTGTGTGACCAAATGTGGCTCGAAGAACATGACCTAGGAATCTTAAATTTTGACACAAGCGAATTTACACGCAGGGCAATCCATCTCATGAATTTGGTGTCCCTAGTTCCGTTGATTTTGAGACCTTAGGGCGGTGGTCAGATTGACCGCCCCCCCCCCCCTCCAACGAGCGCGTGGTATTCAGTCGGCCAGCCGGGCGCGCGACAAAACTCTTTACGACTAAAACTGCCATAACAGTGCCCAAACTCTTATTCATGATAGTGTAAACGATCCGGAACCCCCAACTCCTAAAAGCTCTGCGTGATAGTCCATCATCCTTTTACATTCAGCTCTTCTTCCTCTCTCTTTAGCATGAATTGACAAGACACATTGGCTTCCATTATATATATTAGATCTCATGTCCACATGTAGATTAGATCCCGACAAATCGCCTAAGCCCACTCCATAGTATCCATAACCGGCAGCTTAATAGCATCCCAGGAAGGTCGATTTAGGACCCCATGGCAGTTTATCGTATTATCGGCCGTACTGGGTTAGGGCCAACCCTCTGTTTAGGTCTGCCCAGAACATCGTTGCCCTGAAGTGCGCGGTCCCAGTGCATAATTCGCGCTGGATCAGTTTCTGCGCTGTCAGTCTATAAGACCATGCGCGTTCATGTAGGAATCTCGGGTCATCGAATACCCATGACAACCAGGACTGATATTTTGCTTGCCCACAGTGACGACACGATATTCGAAGAGGATGAAGAGCTCGAGCTGGCTGTAGTGGCCAAGCAAAACCCCAAGAAGTTCTTCTGATTTGGCATCCGCTGAAGCGACGACATAGCAGAAGACGACGAAGTTTATTTATTGATAGCGAGTGTTTTGGCGGTGTGCGGTGTCAATGACACGGTTGAATTATGCGCTCTCCCGTAGACTGTTGGATACTGGGCTTTTCGGGTGACTTAGCTTTCTCTGACCTTTGGTCATCGCACCTGAATTTACTTTAGTGACGACAGTCCTGCGCCGAAACCTGGTGGTGCTTCATTTTACGCCTTCATAGCCGTTTAGAATCTGGTTCTTTTGCCCATTGGGCAACGCAGCACTGTTTTCTTTTATCGGGCATTGCCATCGTGGAGACCGAGAGGAATGCCTGCAATCGAGGCGGCAAAGTATTCGCACGAGAGAGTATGGAATAAGCTAGCATATTAAGGGAAACATATTTTAGCTGCTTTGTGATACGTCAAAAGTCACTATAGTGATATCGTGTGCACTGACTATTTCTAATGCCCGCTTGCCGGCGCACTAGAATGTCATCCACCGAACATGTTACCATTTAAAAAACGTGTTACAATGCGTGCATATATTTATCAGTATCTAGCTCTGGTCACAGCATAGTGTTTATATGTGAATGTCGCGGCACGGGAGAATACGCCGAGGAAAAAAGTGAACAAAAGGGAGGCTGTCTTAAGAGTAATTTTTAATATAGTTTTGCAATAAGCCGGCTTGTTTGACGAAACTTGGGTCATCCCATGACAAACCAACAGCGGATAACTGCATGTCAACATGGCCCCGTTCGCGAGAATGTTGCATCAATTGTGAGTTTGCAAAGGCGACCCGTGTAGAAAGAGACGATCTGTTTGGGTTAAACCTCCTTGTCCCTCGCGACTGGCTTCGGGATGAAGGCGTGGGGGATATTGAAGTGAACACAGACGCCTTGCTCCGACCCGTCCTGCTCGGTTCCTGCAATGAACCCTTTGATGGGGAGACGAACAAGGATTGAGCTAAAACTGGAGAGCCCCCACCCGTGTGACCTCGAGCAAGGCCCCGGGAGCGTCTGGTAACAGCTGGGGACAGCCCAGATACCTGCCGATTCCCCTCAACCCTACTCACGTTTACCCGTGGGAAGTCCCTTGACTAGGAAGCGAAACGTAGAGACGGAGCAGGGTCTTTCATCCCCTCCCTGCCGCGTCCCCGTCCCGGGCGCCTGGAGCGGAAAGCCCTGCTCTGTCCCCGTGGGGACCCCTGAAACGGGACGTCAGGGGGGGGGGGGGGGCGCGGCTCTTGATCCTGCTGGCTGTGCTGGAGGGTCGGATCGGGACGGGACGACGCCGATGGGGACGGGCGCGTCGGCGGCAGCCCATAAAGGCCACTGGGCTCGCTCGGCACGTGAATCGAGAACACATCCGCGTCCGCGCCGAGTCCGACGGCCACCAGGGCGGCGACACAGGCGAGGACTGCGACCGAGCTCATGTTGCCACCACGCCCTCCACGAACCCCGCTCGCGCGGCTGACCGGACTGGACTGACAATGCGCCGATCGTCACGTCCGGACCCTTTTTATAACCCCCGCCCCCCACCCCCCTTCGTCCGGCGCCGTGACGTCATCGGAGCGTTGCCGGTGACGATCGGTGACGCCCTGTGACGAAAGCGGCGTTGCCGGACGCGGTGTGCAGTGATGTACTGACACGCCGTGGGAACAGTACGAGCATGGGATGCTGAGACGCTAAGGGGCTGCTGTTCTGGGCAGCCTGTGATAAGCTCAGGTCAAGGCAGGGACCGTGTGCCCGCGTGGGGTCGGAGCGCGGGTTGATGTGCTCATTCAAGCGCCTGAGATTACGGCAGGAGGCACCCGGAACAGGCGTGCACTGGGCATGGATCATCTGCTTAACTGGGCGTGCCTTTGATGAGACCCCAAGAACAACTTAACTTCAGTTGGTTAAAAATGCATGTAAAACATAAATTATTCACCATTATCCACTTGTTATTCATTTGGACATGCGTGATATTGGTTAACTGCCGAAAATCGGAACGATAACATTAGTTGAGTAAGTAACTAACACTAGGACACAAATTTGGACGGCAGAATATGCCTACCTAAGTTTGGAAAAGAACCCTGCGTAGAAAAGTGAAATATAATTCAAACCTTCAATGCAGTCCCATGTTTTGATGAGGCATGGCGCATTCAAAGTATTCGAAGCCCCGGAGACCAATTCAAGCAGCTTATGAAGAAGATACCACGCTTAGTATGCTCCACCGCCTTGCGTGCTATCCCATTCATTGGCCACGGTGTTTTGCGTCCATCTCTGAAGCGTAAACAACCTAATGCACGCCCAAGACTGGCCGCTGTGTGTGCACCATGACATCTAAGACCGTTCTGTACAGAGAGCAGGTGTTTTCTGCAACTCACGCGCTGAATCAATAGACCAGTACAGTTGCTTGCGCCGACTCACGCATCCATGCAGATCCAAACGGCCTCATGTCTTGGCAATGTACACAATCATGGCATGGGGATTGTTGTGATGACCGAACGGCTCTGGGCTAATCTCTGTTTGCCGTAACGGTCGAGGCCTTTCCCGCAAAGACCAGTCGCTTCTAGAATGTGGTAGGAACACAGATAAATTTGTTCCAGAAGAAAAAACTTAAACCACGTGCGAGGCTGTCATTTTCAAGGTCTGAATTCCTCTTGAAGGCGAACGTTTGAATGTCATGCTTCCAAATTTGGTGGCTAGGTGGGACCATGTAATATGATCAGTTGTGGCAAATTTCAAAGCAATCAGAGGAGTCTGCGAATGTGTGAAAACCGACATCGAATGTAACATTTTTGATTTATAGGTCACATTTTGGATATCGTACCGTCACATGGCACATCATATGATGGGCAACGGCCAATTACATCATAGGAGATGCATTGTTCAACACTCCTTTGTCTTGGTGGCTTATTGCGAAGCCTTTTTATTAATGTCTCGTTTTAGAGATATGTCATATATCCCATAGTTTGAGAGGTTTTGGAATGCGTGAATGGAAGTGTCACAAATTGACACTTGGTGAAAAACCGCATATATACACAAATTTCAAGGTGATCAAAGGAATCTCCCATCCATTTAGTTCAAAGCCGTCATTTTCAAGGTTCGAATGCCTCTGCAAGGCGAACGTTTGAATGTCATACTATAATATTTGGTGGGTAGGTGGAACCATGTAAGGTGATTATTCGTGGAGAATTTCAAAGCAATCAGAGGGGTTCACAAATGTGTGAAAACTGACATCCAATGTGACATTTTTTATTTATACGTCACATTTTGCATGTCGTACCATCATATGACACACCATATGAGAGACGACTAATTATATCCTAGGGGATGACTTGTTCAGCATTGTTTGGTTTTGGTGGCATATTACGGCGCTGTTTGTGTCGTTTTAGAGATATGCCATATATCCCATTGTTTGAGAGCCTCTAGAGTGCGCGAATGGAAATGTCACAAATTGCTACGTAATGAAAAACTGTGTATGTACATAGTACACACCTGTGCCAAATCTCAACGTGATGAAAGGAATCCCTCTGCCTTTTTACCGACATGAGGTGTATATATGTTAATACGTGCAAGACAGTCATTTCCAAGATTTGAATGCCTCTGGAAGACGAACCTTTGAATGTCATAATGTAATATTTGAAGGCTAGGTGGAGAGATGCGATGTTAACTTTTTTGCCACATTTCTAAGTAATCAAAAGAGTCTGATTTTGAGTGACCTTGAACTTCTATGGTTGTTTGCGGGCGTGGTTTTAAATGTCACATTTGAAAAATGTGATTTTAATAATTGGTTGCTTTGTTCTACCAACATACCAAATTTAGTCAAATTCTGTCGAGTCCAGGCAGGTTCACTGGGTTCACTAAGCAATGACCTAGAACGACCTTGAACTTTGATCTTTAATAACTCCTTTGTTTTTGGATATCACACTTAGTGTCTTATATATTCACCAGTGGCATAATTAGCTCTATCCGTGAGCTAAATTTCATTGTAATTTGTGAGTAAATCGAATGCGACACGGTTTAGATGAAGGACGAGGCTATTATCTATGAGTTTCTCGAGAATTTTGGATATAAACGTCAAAATACTGAGAGGTCTGTAAGTATTTACAAACTGAGAGTCCCCACTGTTAAAGATGGGTTTAGTCACGGTTTTTAAAAAATAGCTTGAAATATCGGTAATTTTTTACTTGGGTACCTGTATGGCCGACGGAGGGAAGAGCTACGCTAGCTGCAGGGTTTCGAGTATTGTCGTGCGGGGCAAAAGCTGTGAGGCATCAGCTAACATTGTGACGTCACTGAAAATGGTTTTGCATCGATCGGGATCGGGGTTCTTTCGGGCCGACTGAAGGCCATAAGGCTTTTGCTTGTGACATGGTGTCACTGGTATTCGGCTGGGTATGTGACGTCACTGGTCGTGAGTGTGTAAGGCTCTTTTGGGTCCACTGAATGCCGTAATGCATCAGCTGGCCATGTGTCGTCACTGGTATTCGATTGAACATCAGGCGCGGCCGGCCTCGTTCCATCTTTACTTTTCGTACCTGTCTGCTGCAAGCATTTGCGTGCCGCATAAAGGTTTGACCGAATTACCCCAATGTGTGACGTCCCTAATCATCACTTCATACGAGTGCACTTAGGCCTCACGACCACGGTGTGTCGTGGTCCGCAAAGTATCACCGGATAGCGTGACGTCACTGGTATTCGAATAAAAACTGGGCGCAACAGGCCGTGCTTCATTTTTACCTTTGTACTTGTCTACTGCAAGCATTGGCGTGCTGGATGAAAGCTGCCGAACCACCTGAGTGTGTGACATCACTGGCCATGAGTTCCAACGGTGCTTTTCGGCCAACTGAAGACCACAAGGTGTCAGCTAACGACGTCCCTGCTATACGACTGTAAGACGTCAATGGCCGTGGGTTTCCACGGGCCCTATAGGACCGACGAAATGCCGTTAGGCATCAGCTGGCGACATGACGTCACTGGTATTTGGCTGAACATCAGGCAACAGGTCATGCTCCATTTATACCTTTCGTACATGTCTGCTGCAAGTATTGGCGGATTTTTTGTGCGGCCAACTGAAGACCATAAAGCATCAGCTAACGATGTGACGTCGCTGGCACTCGACTGTGCGTGTCGCTGGTCATGAGGTTTTACGGCCTCTTTTGGGGCGACGAAAGGTCATACGGCAATGACTGAAGATGTGACGTCACTGGTATTCGAATGAACTTCGGGCGCGACAGGCCATGTTCCACCTTTATCTTTGGTACCTGTCCATTGCAAGCATTGCCGTGGAAGGCTCTGCCAAATTACCTGAGTGTGTACGTCACTGACCATTAATTTGCACACTCTTTTGAGCCTACTATAGGCCACAAGGCATCAGCTGACGATATGATGTCACTGGGTTTCGACTAGACATCATGCGCAACAGGCCATGCTCCATCTAAGCCATGTTTCGTCTGTACCTTTCGCACCTATCTACTGCAAGTATTCGCGCGACACAGGGGCTCTGCCGAATTACCTGAGCGTGTGGTGTAACTAGTTATGAGTTAACGCGGGTTTACTCTGGCTGACTGAAGGACATCAAGCATCAGCTGACGATATGACGTCACTGGTATTCGACTAAACTTCAGGCGCGACAGGCCATGTTCCATCTTTACCTTTCGTACCTGTCTCTTGGAAGTATGGGCGTGCTGAATGAAGGCTCTGTCGAGTCTCCTGAGTAAGTAACGTCACTGGTCAAGAGCTTTTTACGGGACCTTTTGTACCCCCAAACGGTATAATGCATCAGCTGATGATATGACGTCGCTGGTGTCCGACTTAACATCAGGCGCGACAGGCCATGTTCTATCTTTACCTTTCGTACCCGTCTATTACAAGTATTGACGTGCTGAATGAAGGCTCTGTCGAGTCTCCTGGGTGTGTAACGTTACTGGTCATGAGTTTTTTCTGGCTCCTTGGAACCCTCTATAGGGAAACATGCATCAGTTGACGACATGATGTCAATGGTGTTCGACTTAACATGAGGCGTAACAGGTCATGTTCCATCTTTGCCTTTCGTACCTGTAAAGTATTGGTGCGTTAAATGATGGCTCTGCCGAGTCACCTGAGTGTGCGACGTCACTGGTCATGAATTTTTACCAACTATTTTTGGCTGAGCGAAAGCCATAAGGCATCAGCTAACGAAATGACGTCACTGGTAATCCACTGAGTGTGTGGCGTCACTGGTCATGAGCTTTTACGGGCCTTTTTTGGCCGAGTTCAGGTCATTAGGCATCAGATAACGTTATGGCGTCACTTGTATTCGAATTAACATCAGTTGCAATAAGCCATGTTTCATCTTTACCTTTCGCACCTGCCTACTGCAAGTATTCGTGCGCTACAAAAAGACTCTGTCGATTCGCCTGAGCGTGTGGCGTAACTGGCCATGAGTTTGTGCAGGTTTACTCGGGCTGACTGACGGACATCAAGCATCAGCTGACGATATGACGTCACTGGTAATCGACTAAACTCCAGACGAATCATCTGAGTGGGTGACGTCGCTGGTCATGAGTTCATACGGATTCACTTGGGCCGCCCAAGGCCACAAAGCAACACCTCCCGTGAAGCATCACAGGATGATATGTCGTCACTGTTATTCGACTTAACATCAGGTCCAACATGCCACGTACTTTCTTTACCTTTTGTACTTGTTTATTAAAGGTATTGACGTGCTGAATGAAGGCTCCGTCGAATCTCCTGAATGTGTGACGTCACTGGTCACGAGTTTTTTACGGGCTCCTTTGAACCCATTTTAGGTTATAATGCATCAGCTGATGACATGACGTTACTGGTGCTCGACTAAACATCAGGCGCAACAGGTCATGCTCCATATTTGCCTTTCGTACCTGGCTGCTGCAAATATTCGCGTGCTATATGAAGGCTCCGCCGAATCACCTGAGTATGTGACGTCACTGATCATCAGTTGGTAGGAGGTCACCTGGCCACCTACGGCTACGGAGTTCCGCAGCAGAGGTGGGAGATGCACCATAGTTAAGCACACTAATTTTATTGTGCGCACCATTAAGTAACAACTTCAAACGCAACGGGCTGTTTCAACGACTAAAATTTTGAACAAACGTAAACACAAAACAAAGGTGATCCCAGCCCACAAACCGACGTATATGCAAAGCTATTCCGCCCGACATCACAGGATGCGCCCCTGAGCAGCTACGGTCCGGAATGCCCTGATGGCTAAATAATAATCAAGGGCGCCGCCTAGCGGCCATAAGTCTGGGCCACAGCCCGAATATCAGTGACGTCATATGGTCAGGTGATGCTTGATGTCCTTCAGTCAGCCCGAGTAAGCCCGCGTAAACTCATGACCAGTTACACCACATGCTCAGGTGATTCGGCAGAGCCTTTATGTAGCGCGCGAATACTTGCAGTATAGAGGTGCGAAAGGCAAAGATGGAACATGACCTGTTGCGCCTGAGATTAAGTCAAATACCAGTGATGTCATATCGTCAACTGATGTCTTGTACCCTATAGGTACAAAAAAGCAGCCCGTAAAGAACTCATGACCAGTGACATTACACACTCAGGAGATTTCACAGAGCTTTCCTTAAGCATGTCAATGCTTACAATAGACAGGTACGAAAGGTAAAGACGAACATGGCCTGTCGCGCCTGGTGTTAAGTTGAATACCAGTGACGTCACATCGCCAGATGATGCTTGATGTCCTTCAGTCAGCCCGGGTAAACCCGCGTAAACTCATAACCAGTCACACCACACGCTCAGGTGATTGGGCAGAGCCTTTATGTGGCGCGCGAATACTTGCAGTAGATAGGTGCGGAAGGTAAAGATGAAACATGACATATTGTATCTGATGCTTAATTGAATGCCAGTGACGTCATATCGTTACCTGATGCCTAATGGCCTTAAGTCGGCCCAAAAAGGCGCGGGAAAACTCATGACCAATGGCGTCACACACTTAGTGGATTACCAGTGACGACATATCGTTAGATGATGCCTAATGGCTTTCCCGGCCAACAATAGCCTGTAAAAACTCATGATGACGCACTCAGGTGATTCGGCAGAGCCATCATTAGGCTCGCCAATACTTTAACAGGTGCGAAAGGCAAAGATGGAACATGACATGTTGTGCCTGATGCTAAGTCGAACACCAGTGACATCATATCGTCAACTGAAGCATTATACCATATAGGGGGTTGAAAAGAGCTCGTAAGAACTCTTAACCAATGACGTGATATAACACGCGAATGCTTGCAGTAGACAGGTACGAAAGGTAAAGATGGAACATGGCCTGTTGCGCCTGATGTTGAGTCGAATACCAGTGACGTCATATCATCCCGCGATGCTTTACAGGATATGATGCTTTGTTGCATTGGGCTGCCCAAGTGAACCTGTATAAACTCATGACCAGTGACGTCACGCACTCAGATGGTTCAGCATCACCTTGATATAGCACGCGAAAGCTTGCAGTAAACAGGTACGAAAGGCAAAGATAGAGCATGGCCTGTTGCGCATGACACCTAGACGAAAACCGGTGACGTCATATGGTCAGCTGATGTGGTATGGCTTACAGTGGGTTCAAAACAGTCTATACAAATTAATGGTTAGTGACGTTACACACTCAGGTAATTCGGCAGACCCTTCCTTCAGCATTCAAATACTTGCAATGGACAGGTACCAAAGGCAAAGATGGAGCATGGCCATGGCCGCCTGAATTGTATTCGGATACCAGTGACGGCACATCTTCAGTTAATGTAGTATGACCTTTCGTCGGCCCAAAAGAGGCCGTAAAATCTGATCACAAGTGACATCACACACAGTCGAATGCCAGTGACGTCACATCATTAGGCTATGCTTTACGGCCCTCAGTTGGCCCCCAAAGATCCATAAAAGTGCATGACCAGTGACGTCACACACTCACGTGATTTGGTAGCTTTTATTCATCACGCCAGTGCTTGCAGTAGACAGGTACGAAGCTAAAAATGAACCTTGACCTGTTGCGACCAATATTTAGTCGAATATCACTGACGTCACGATACCCAGTGATATTTCACGGAACATGATACACCGCGGCCGTGGGGCCTAAGTGCACTCGTATCAAGTGGTGATTGGTGACGTCACACACTCAGGTGATTCGGTCAAGCTTTTATTCGGCACGCAAATGCTTGCAGCAGACAGGTACGAAAGGTAAAGATGGAATAAGGCCCGTTGCGCCTGATGTTTCATTGAATACCAGCGTCGACATATCGTCAGGTGATGCTTTACGGCATTCATTGCACCCAAAAGAGCCCTAAAGCCTCACAACCAGTGACGTCACATATCCAGTCGAATACCAGTGACATCATATCGCTAGCAAATGCCTTGTAGCCTTCAGTCGGCCCAAAAGAACCCAGATCGATGCAAACCCATTTTCAGTGACGTCACTACGTCGGCTGATACCTAACGGCATTTCTCCATCATGGCAGTACAGGAACCCTGCAGCCAGCGTAGCTCTCTCCCCACCGTCGGCAATACAGGTACCCAAGTAAAAAAAAGCCGAAATATCCCCGGTGCCAAACAGCTGTTGAAAAGATGGAGAGTTGCTTTGAGCATTACCCTGTAAAATAACTTGAATTCTTTTTAATTAATATTGTCTACTCCAGCTCCGACGTTGTTTAGTCTATTCATGACAACAACCAATTCCTCTTCACTAGTGAGGGGCAGATCCATTTCATTTTTCTACATTTGCGTAGATTGACCTGGACGTGGTTGAATGATGAATTAAGAATCTCGTCTTTTAACTTTTGTCCAACCTCGGTGAAGATGCCATTAAATGATTCCGCCATATCCGAATCATCTGTGATAATTTTGTCAATAGCCTAGTAATCCTTGTTGGGTCTGCATGCTTTTGTTGTGTTGAATTCATGAGTGTGTAATGTTTTCCATGTTTCCATGAAGTTGCCAGAATGTTAAATGAATTCATCACTAGTATTTATTTTTGGCTAGTCTAGGAGATGTAGCAAGGATGTTATAAGAAAAGTGCATTTTGCTTTTTAAGAATTGGGGTGGTTCAATTTCTGTTCAAAAAGCTTACTCTCATGTGTATCTGACAGGAGAAGTGCAGGTAACAACCATGGTTTGCATGGGCTGGTTTTTTTAGAAATGTGCCTCATGTGGGAGAACCTGGTGATCCCAGCATTGTAACCATATATAATTTGAATTATAATAGTATGGGGTTCTGGCTCATTTTCAATATCAACAAGATGATTAACAAGGAATTGTTTCAATTCTTCCAGCTTTCTTCAATCAAATGTGGAAGTATGTGTTTTAACATCAGGTATGTGTGTGTGTGTGTGTGTGAGGCATAGTTCATCAAAGCAAAAGTAGGGAAATGATCTGACAGATCATGAAGGAGAATGCCTGTGTGCATCACTTTCGATAAGACATTGCAAAATATGTCATATAGAAGAGTATATGATGGATACCAAGATCATGTTGCCCAGTATATTGTAGGAAACAAGCCATTTGAACACATGCTAGTGAAAAATGCTTGCACATTAGGACTGATATCAAGTGAAAACAGATCAAAGTTGAAATCACCAGTAATAAATGATGCTCAGTACATTTTTTAAAGCCAAATTAGGCATTGCTCTAGCTCTGAGTTTAAGTGGTGTTCATCAGTGTTGGGCTACCTATAAATTTGACAAATAATGTTTGCATTATCACACAGTAGTTCAGCACAAACCACTTCAGCTGTGGAGAAAACAGGATTGCTAAGTTGTTTAGGATGAAGATGATCATCAATGTAAATTGCTCATCCACCACCTACCCCTTTTGATCCACTGCAGTAAAAAGCTGGATAATGATGAGATTCCAAAGCTGCAGCCATGTTTCAGATAGTTTCAGAGCATTGCACCATATGCGCATTTTGTCAGCAATCACATAGGTGAAAAGCATGCCTACGAACGGAGATGAAGCGGCAAGGCTAAACTACGTTAAGTGCAAAACAAGCTGCACAATTATTCGCGTATAATGTGCGCATGTATACATGCCAGATAAGCTATGGGTGAAACGTACAGACCTGGCGTCTCTTCGTGTTGTGCTCCGCAGAATGTTTCATGAACTACAGTCCATTTCAGAACTACATTTGTATATCCCTAACCAGCAATGTGTTCAGTGCAATGCAAAGCACATACAGTGGCGTCAGGACTTGATCCTGTTCTGGGCATCTCAGATTTCCACATTCTGCCACTCCTTTAACGGTGTTCCCCACTTTGGTGCATGAGCCTTACGTATGAAAGGTCGGAAGGAATTGCAATACCCACTGAAATCAAATACTCAGCATGGTGTCACATGTTGAAGTTACATTTGCATTGTATTGGGCTAATACATTTTTATCTCGAGAAAGAACGATGACCAATGGATAAAGGCTCTGTTACGCATCTCTTGACAGCATTAAGCTTCCTTTGTCTTCTCGAGCCGCTGCGTTTCCAACAGCCCCCTGAAAAAGCAAACAGTTATTCACAAGCGCGGTGCCGCTGACACCGTGCCAAGAACATGAACCGTCGCTTGGGATTTGTGCAGAATTCTTCCGTAAAATAGTGCTGCTCAAAGATGTGGCCATTATCATTGTTGTACACGGCTAACGCACGCTCGGGTGGACGCGGTCAGTTTCCCCGAACGGTTTTCGAGAAAAATTTCCAAAAATACGCGGTGCAGCAGCCTAGCCAAACTTTGCATAGCTGTAAGCAACTAAAGAACAGACGTTTTGGTATCTTGCAAGGCTGCTGACTTATGGCAGGTCAGAATCGGGTCGTAGCTGTCAAGGAAGCCATTTTTCCAGGGAATTACTTGATCTGATGCAACATCGGAGTGTTCGACAAAGCCATACTTGTCTGACATAGGTTCTCGTACAATTAGGCAATTAAATCTAGGATTACGACAAAGTCCATCGACTTGACATCCGTTGTAAAGATCAGACCGAGATAAAACCTAGCAGTATACCAACTGAAGAGCTGGCTTTACAGGATAGTTTATGGTGCGTATTTCTATTTTTTATAACAGCGACCGCAACAGACACCTTTCATGGGGTTCTTAAATATCAGAGTAGGCCATTGATCCAGAGTGACCCATATCAACCTTTCGTTTCGGCAGCATGCTGCTGAGCGTATTCCGTGGTGCTTATTCACGTGAAAATGTATAAGGCCAACAAGTTCATTGACCAGAATTAAACGCTAGTGATTTTTTTATTACAGCAGGTATCTAGGCTCCAGGCGGCTACATGAAAAGGTGTGACGACACTTTGGACACCCATCTGGAGTTTGACCTTGTTTAACCTCATTTGGCCGGAGCTTGCAAAACCCGAAGGTTTTTACCTAGACACCTGGAACTGACACAAGCGAGTTCACGTACAGACCAACCCACACTTTGAATTTGATGCTTCTAGCTCTCTTAGTGTTGGAGATGCTGGGGGACAATTTGATCTCCACCCGAGCGTGTGATATCGCGCCGGCCGCCGGGGGGGGGGGGGGGGGGGGGGGGAGCGTGCTGACACGCAGACATAGGATGGGGGTGGTGAGGATACGGGTCACGCTCATCCCGCTTGTTGCGCGTTCGCATGGACAAAGGCGTAAAATCGTTCGCATGTAGATAAGACGGTAGTATTAGACTCCTTCCTCGGATAAAAGACAACAAAACGGGGGAATGGAGATGTAGCTGGGTTGGCGTTTCGGCAACATGCCTTTATCAACACTTCTGCTGCTATTGTTTCGATAAAGACGTGTTGCAGGAATGTCAACTCAACTATGTCTCCATTCTCCTGGTTTTTCCGAGGAATGAGGCTAATACTGAGGTCTTATCTATGTGAATAATGCTCCTCGTTAATGCACCGAACCACTCACGTAATTTCCTGCGCATATAGATGGACGGAATTTTTCCGAATCGTGGGCATTACTGCATGTAACTGTTCCATGGTGCACCTTGCAGTCGTGATCGCGGAAATCATGAGCCATGAATCGACCTGAGTCGCGCGATGATGATCTCACGATCCGGGCTCGCACTTCACTTCCGTGGCTGAAGTATCCAGACTTTGTGTCCACAGAATCTGTGGCTTCTATGCGCTTATTCGCTGACTGGATTGCATCAATATTTGAAACGGCGGATGACGATGTTTTTTCTAACAAGCCGTGTGCGACTTATCGCCAGTTTCTACCACACCCATTACAGCGAAGTTGTCAAGACAACTGCCGACAGTTTTGCACAAGCTTCTGCTTGCTGCTTTGTGCTCCAGGTAAAATCGGTTTGCAACTGTGTTCAGTTTGATATGGCAGTCCTGCATATTTGTATCAAGCCATCAACTCTTGTTCGTGATGATGGTGAGTGGCGTGCACCGTTCTTGCCACAGTATCGCTCCGCCACACAATAACTTCTGTATTTGGTCGACTTATTTCACTCTATTTTTTATTAAGCATTATCTAGAGGCATTTACCGAAAGCGCTGAAACCGTAGTTCTCCATTTTCGGGAACTCCCAGCAACACGGTATTATATACACTGACCCTCTCTTGAGCACGGTCTGGTTCAATCGTAGGTCGTGTCGGATTACACGCGTGCCGTGTCTAATTCCATTCGTGCCTTTCCAGGCGTGCTGACCGAGCATAAAAGGCGACTGCTCTGGCTCATGGCCTAATTTGACAAAATAATGTAGCTTCAGACCAGTCTTTTTTTCTTGTCATACTGGGCTGCCTGCTCACCTTTGAATGATAGTTGTCGATGTGCTGTGATGAATAGGAGCGCACGACGTTGCCATGTACGCAGCTAATATGAACGCTAGTAAGAGGAAGCTAGTACGCTAGTAAGCTAGTAAAAGCAAGTATGAGCGGTAGATTAACAGAAATGCGTCATTCAAACATGGTTTTAGAACTCTAGAAGAACGTCCAAGGAGCTAGTTTAAACTAGAAATGAATGGTTTCAGGGACGCGGTCACAGTTTCAGGCGGGGTAAGCTGATCGCGCCCTATGATTGGCCGGGTCATAACGTACTGCCGTGCGGTATCCACCATTGTTCAAATTCTATTTGCAACCGATTTAAATATGAACTTTCCGACAGTATAGGTGTAAAGAAAATAACAGAAATCGTGTAGTTCGGGAGAACGAGATTAAGCGTCAAACTAGGTCACTATGTTATCCGAATTAGCCTCCAATATTATTTTGAACCATATTTCAGAAACATGTAGACATTTATAGACATTCATCATGAAGATATTTGTCATATACGCATTTAAAGTCTTTTGTACACAAAATAAGTGCCTTCGGATCCAGTTATTCCCAACATTATACTTCATGAAATTAAGCAGAAAGCCCATCATGCTTATTTTTACATACGACTGCTGCACATTTTTCTTCCTTGAATGTCGCACATATGTTTAGGAACGGTCGAAACTGGTTTGTGAGCGATAGTACGTATCTATGTAGGCTGGAAGCACAACAGCAAGGCATACATCTGTTAACAACAGGAACGGAATATTGCATGGACTAAAATTTAGAGTACGTGACATGAATAGTGCCTTACGCCATTCTCATCTTATCTCATCTTATCACGCTTATCTTCTGTTCTTATACACTCAGTAAATTACACTTATTGTACACTTATTAAGTGCCCACATGACAGAACCTTAGTTGAAACAGAGAAAACTGGAAGCGACGTTGACAGGCAAATTAGCACATCCAGCAGCCACGACTACAAATATTGGGTGCCGAAAATGGCACGTTTTGTATACCGTTACCCAAGAACAAGTAACCAGGAGTGCCTTTCCCTCTATCCCAGCGACGCAATAAACCGTACTTGAGCACCAGAAAACATAAAATCAAGTCGCGGCACTCCCAGCTGAGAAGAGGAAACAAACATAAAGAAGCAGACGAAGAGGTGGTGCAGACCCGGTAGGCATTGTGTTATGCGATAGGCAAGGACAAGTCATATATGAGAAGGCTTAAAGTAGTCATAGCCAAGGTCAGCTAATAACAGCACGCTATAGCCATCCAGTAAACTACAACCACTCGTTCACAGTATTAGGATGGGATGTACAGACACACGAGTCGGAGGGGTAATTAACTGGTCATTTTCGTGCTGGGTTTTGAGCTGGATGTCCTGGGAGTCTACCCAACCAAGCGGAGATTGTTGCTGGGAGAGCTCCCGGAGCCAGCGCCGTGAATTTGGGTACAAGTGCATGAATATAGCGGTCCCAGGATGTGATTATGGAACATAAAGCAAGATTGAATATGAAGTGAGTTGCATACGCGCAAGGCAAAAATTGCAATATCTTGACATATGTTGGTTACGTTAATACGCATTCACAAAATGCTTGCGGATGATCTTCTTAATGATGCTTTCTGATGCAGTTATATCAGTTACTCCTGGAAAATATGGGATCATAATATCGTTTCACATCATAGGGTCAAGGCAAGATGTTTTAAATAGTCCATAATTGCGATTAGAGAAAGGTTGACCTAGATGTTTTACACGCTTCATATCCATTTCATTTGATTCGTGGAGCTTGTATGTTACATCGAATGATGCAGAAGGCTGTGCATCTTGAAATTTGTGCATCGCAATTAACATTTGGAATTTAGCGATATTCGATAATTCCAAAATTTGGTATCGTTTAAAGGTTGTCTCAGATGTTTTTGGAGGGTACACGTTTTCTATCAGACGCACAACCCTTTTTTGCAAAACCACCAACCGGTGTAGTTGAGAAGCTTAATTTAACCCCAAACCAAACAGCAATAATTTAAATAAGGACGAATTCAAATTTTTGTAAAGTAGATATGACGTTTTATCAATAAAGCACCTAACCCTACTTATTATTCCCATATTTCTACTTAATATGCCTGCAACAAAATTCATTTGATGCATAAACTTAAGAGATTTGTCAATGAGCACGCCAAGGTGCTGGATTTTTTCCTCTTCAATAGATGAAGTATTAATTTGCACGTTTATTTGGAAATGCGAAAAAGTGTAATGCAATGCTGAGTGAATGTTTTAGAAACGTTCAGTGAAAGAAAATTAGCACTAAACCAGGAAGGCGTTAGAAGCAAAATTGCGTTGACGCGGTTTTGTAGTTTCACAATACTTTTATTTTTGAAAAAAATCGCAGTATCAGCAGCGTGGGCGAGGCAAATCGTGTTACTGCTTAACGTAGGCAAGTCATTTATGTATATTGTAGATGGAATTGGGCCGAGAATTGATCCTGCGTGTACGCCCATCGTCACGTTTTTGAATGATAATAGATGAGTCCTGATTTTGACGACCTGAGTTCTGCCAGGCCAATAAGAAGAAACGGTTTCTTGAGATTTTCGTCGGATACCATATTTCGTAAATTTGCCTAGAAAAAAGTTTATGTTGTCCGTGTCAAATGCTTTTTTTCAAATCTAAACGCAGTCCAAGCACATATTCTCCGTTTTCAAAAGCCCAAGTGATATTTTCCTGGAGAAGAATAAATGACATGCATGTACTTTGCTCATCCGAAGTCCGGACGGATTTTGGTGAATTGGGCGACTTTGCTTTAGATGAAGGATGAGTCTACTGCTTGTAAGTTTTTCGAGAATTTCGGACATAAACGACAAAATACGGATAGGTCTGTAATTATTTACAAGTTTAGAGCTCCCACTTTTGAAGATGGATTTCATCACGGCTTTGTTGAAAATGTCTGGAAATATCCCTGATATAAACAGCTGTTGAAAAGGTGAAGAACTACTTTGAGTATTACCCTATAAGACAACTTGAATGTCTGTATTTATGTCGTCAACTTCAGCCCCAACAATGCTAGATTCATTGATGACGAATTTATTCCTCTTCACTAGTGTGTGGCAGATCCATTTCATTTTCTGCATTACGATGAGCTGGAAGGGGGTTGAATGATGAGTTAGGAATCTTGTCCTTTAACTTTGTCCAATTTCAGTGAGGGCGCAATTAAATAATTCTGCTATATCCGGATCATCTGTGAGAATTTTGTCATTAGCCTCGCTAATCCTAAGAGACTAAGAGGCACATAATAGCGAACAAAGGTCATTCACTAATTGCGACCCAGTGGTCAGGATCTGGATACCGCACCGATGAGTAGACAGGCTCTCCAACGTCACCGCCGTCGCGCGCCGCTGCGCCGCCACACCAGTGGCCGGTCCCCATTCTGACAGACGCAAAGGGCGCCAGACGCTCACCGCCGGCGACTGGCATTTGCTCGACCGATCGATAGTCCTGTGACACCAAAAGTCCCCCGAAATGTCTACCCACGTGGCGGTCGCTGAGTCGAGTACACTCGGCCCGCAGCTTCACGTGGACGAGCGTGAAGCGCTTACAGTGCGCTGGTGTTTCGCCGCACACAGTGGCCGCGCCGCTTGCGACCCGCATCTGTCTGAAAACGGCCAGCGATATCAACTGTCTGAGAGAAGAAACTGGTGATTTTGTGAAACGTTCTATGGTTGCAAGAGTGCCTGAAGCATGGCTTTGAACCGTCGAGCACTTTCGGAATTGTGCTTCGTCGTTGTGGTACGGATTTTGCAGATCTTCACTCACTTATCTCCTTACTTCACTCCGGAGCCCCTCTCCTCTCCTTTACTTATCTCTCTCCCTTCTTGCCAATCTCTCTTCATTTCCCCCCCCTCTCTCTCTTTCTCTGTTTTTTTTTGTTTCTTTTCACTTACCTACCTTGTTCCGTTTCTCATTCCAGCATAAACGCCTGTTTTTGGTGCAGACAACTCATATCCGTTGCATCGCATGCCTTAAGAACCATTGTCCGAGTGCTTTCAACCTCGTTCCTTTACGGTGTGATAAATTAACACTTCTTAATTTTTCTTATTATTTTTGCTGTAACATGCTCCTGAGCCTTTATACCATCTAGGAATGCCGAATGAATCATTCGAAACAATCTGCACCAGATCCTAGTAACCAGCCGGATACCACACCACCGGTTGTTACGAGAGGCGATCCTTCAGTGCGATGTGACGTTGGGACACGTGGTGTAGCCCGATCTCGGTGGTGCAGCCCCTGTCTCGGCAGATGCTGGCCGCAGCGGTGGCGGGCGAAGGGAGCGTGTTAGGCGCCGCCGGTCGTCACCCCCTCGCCAAGCCGTCCTCGTGTCACGCCTTCGGGCCGCAAGCCATCATGGAGGTCCTTCGCGAGAAGGTCGACGACGTCAACAAAGGTGACGGTCGCCGTCGGCACGTCATGTTTGCACATAAGCGTAGCAAGGTCTCAAGAGGGAGGTGCAAACCCTTTGCTGGAGGCAATTATTTTCGTGCAGCACCATATGCTTGATGTGTCAAAGTTAAAGAACAGAAGGAGGGGAAAGCTTAGGGCTATGTGGTCATTGGTTAGGCAGAAGTTTGTGCACTTGGTGACTGTGAAATCGTTTAGCGCTAATGTACCTGTTAATTCGCAATTTCACCGCATGCGCTGTCAGCTGTTGTCATACTTGTGACTTCAGCAGCGACAGCCTTGTATCTGTGACGGCACCTGCCGGCCGCAACACTTAGTCGAACTCCGGCACTTGATTAGTCACTTGCGCGAATGGCGAAACTTCGTACGGCCAATGGGATAAGCCCAAGCACAAAACTCCTCAGCGTACGTATATATGCATCTATAGTGGTATCTCACATTAGGGCATTGAAATAACAGAGCTGGCTTTACCGTTTCATCTCCATTTAAGACTTCGTCAGGAAAGCTTCGCTTTTTTGCCGCGCAAATTCACAATTGAAGGACAAAAATCATAAAGCGGGTAGTCATGCCTGTTTTAGCACCACAGCAAACACAACAGGGAAATGCAGGGAGCTGACGGTTCAAGAGCTAACAATATACAAAGATGGCGTCATACAAGCTGCTGTGAACAGGGTGGTACAGCATTCTTCGTCGCGGAAATTTGCGCGTTTAGAGTTGCAGGGAATGAGGCAAATGCTGACCAACAATTACCCTATTCAGTCCACCGACAAACACACGCGACACAAGCACTTAACCTGTCCAAGCCCTACTGCGACTACACTAGACGTTACAGAGCACAAACTGTGCTACACACATGCAATGTCTCGAGGCCTACACGGTTGATGAAGAGTTCATTAGATCAACCCCCAGGAGACAATGTGAGCCGACATTCCCAGGGGCCCAGCTAGGGACTAATTATATTTTACCGAAATCCCACGACACCATCCCTTCACTAGTGACACACTTCTGCTGAAGCAATGCAATGTGATGTACACTTGCAAGTGTTCCCTCGGAGACTGCGCGTGCCGTCCGGACTGTAACTACACAGCTGTCTGTTAGCGAGAGCTGGTATTGGTTGCCCCTTGCATTGCTATCGCAGCGTCACAATGTGGGCGTTGATGAATATTGATGCTTATAATTATGCCTTATATATATATATATATATATATATATATATATATATATATATATATATATATATATATACCTATATTGATGTATGAGGGTGCTTTTTTATGCAAAGTTGTCGCGTATAGCACCAAATTTCATATTTCCTGCTCAATGTTTCAAAACGAAGACAACATTCCGTAACACATTTGCTGGCATAAATAGCTTCCATGCACACATACGCATATATCATTAGATTTTGAATCCATATATTTTGATATACACTGGTCGTTAAAATAAAAGTGACGTCGTTGTTTATATTCTTCTGAGATGCATTTCGATCTGGCGGATTAAGCGCTTGCCTTCCAATGGTTGTGATTGTTCAGGATAGAAGCAAAACTCCTTTCAAGCAAGTCCAAGCAGACCACATTTCTCTCACGCTCCTTGCATGCCATCGACGTTCCATCAGCACCGTAACAGCCTCAAAACATGTAGCCTACATTACATTTATCACACCTGATAATGATAGGTAACAACCACCATGGTTTGTGATGAACTGACAAACTGACGGAATAGTCTAGCCTACCCACCGTAGCTACGAGGCGGAACACAGCGCTAGCGGAATTCTTTTCATTTTCCATTTCTAAGAACACACGATACGTGCTAGGCATCCAACGTGAAACACTTCGCAGCAAAATCATGGAAGACAATCTCGAACAGCTAAAGCGCCCCAGCTGAAGTCTTCACATTCTTAATGACCTCTTTAAAGGTGCAATGCCTTTTGCATATTGGTCTTTCTGTCGTATCTGCATGATTGTCTTTTTTTCATAGTATGTCTCATCTTGTCCGTGTAATATGCCTAACCTTGTATTATCCCTTATCCTTCGTAGAGGGCTTGGGTTCCCTGCGCGTTGACCGGCCCGTTGGTGAATGGGTCCATGCCGCGTGAATATGTGCAGCCTCGAGCACATGTCGTCGTCCCACATCGCGTATCTGTCTACCATAGTGGTGTTATCTACCATCTGTTGTGTGGTGAGTCGCTGGTCATGGTAGGATATTATGTGCATTTTTGAGACGCCATTCTGTGCGTACGTTGTGATGTGTCCACTGAATGAGGTGGTCGTCAGTCCAATGTGTGTCCGTGCGTATGTGCGTGCGAGCGTGCGTGCGTGCGTGCGTGCGTGCGTGCGTGCGTGCGTGCGTGCGTGCGTGCGTGCGTGCGTGCGGGCGTGTCTAACCCCGTGATTACCATCTGCTGGCAACGTGTCCTGTCTGCTAAGGAGAAGACGCGAATTGACAGTTTGGTATCGTCCACATGCCTAGTTCTCTCCTGTTGTGTGCTCGAGATACAACATACGCAATTTTCCGTGATGCCAATGCTAAGTGATAATGTCAGTGATGTTAACACACTTCAATATTCCATTATAAATCTGGAGCCGACCCGAACATTGAATCATTGCCTGCAGCGTTTCTTGTCTTCTTACAGATCAGCTGGACAAATACGTCAATATACTGAAATATCTAAGAGCAGCACCTGAGATACTGGATAGATATCTGTTGGGGTAAGGACTGGAGGATGCATTTAAATGAAAATAATATAAAAAAACATCCATCCAGTTTTGCCTGATTTCTCTGTGAACTGACATAAGGCTGCTTCGATGTCGCAAAGTATCTGGATCGGGCATTCAACGCTGACTAAAATGTTGCCAGTCGTTCTCCTGTATGTTGATGTGAATGACATCATGCAGTTGCACGTACAATGTATGCACAGCAACCAACCGCACCTGGGATAAAGATCCATGCGCCCGTAAACGCAGCTGAGACCAGATGACAAATGCTAATACCCATCACATCTCATCTCAGTCTTTGCACCGCGCGATCGGCCATACTGTAATAATGCTACTGAGTCTTCCCGCAGTTGCACCTGCGCGTCGCCGCAAGCTGTGCCTGCGCGTTACCGCATGTTGCGCCTGCGCGTAGCCCATGTTGCAGCCGTTTCTCGCCCGTCGTTCCGTTTCTGAGCCTTCCCGGCGCGCAGGCAGGGCATCGCAACCGAGCACGGTGCCGTGTTGGCCGAATTCGAGACGACGCTGCAGCAGCGACTGCAGGTGGTGCGGCTGGACGTGCTGCTGCCCTGGGTGCGGCTGCTGAAGCTGCAGGAGCTGGCCGAGCAGTCGGGCAGGCTGCAGCAGGCCGCAGCCACCGCCCTGGCCATCAACCTCCGACTCGCACTGAGTACGCACCCGCGCTGGCCACGCAGACGAATGAGTCGCGCCTTACAGCAGACAGTGAATTGCGACTGGTGACGTTGTTGTCCTGTCTAAGCGGGGACAGAATCATCGCTGGACTGAGCCCTGGATAACTTCTGCGATTTTATCGGGGACGTGGGCATGTTCCATCCCCGGGAACATTTTTTTTGCGCACATAATTTAGGGAAGAAAGCTGAACAACTTATGTTCGATTGTTTCCCGATTCATGGTCCGTTGCAGTAAATGACCAATGACGAGGCACTTTTCAGGTGCCTTCGCTGGAAGAGTGTCATGCGATATATATATATATATATATATATATATATATATATATATATATATGCATATATGTATTTATATATTTATACCCATATACATATACAGGTGCATATACGTGTCATTTGGTTATTATCATATTTGTTCGCTTTCGCTTAGTCGCCTTGATACCTGTTTTCCTTCCGTAAATGTTTGATGGATAATATTTTTGTTGCTTCCCTAAATTTCTCTTTACATTCGTGCTCACAGCAGCAAAGATATACGATAAATCCAGCTGCAAAGGACTTTAACAAGCTGCGCGACCCTTTCCAGACTCAACGAAGACAACGAAGCAGAACATTCTGGACAGCGTTCACGGACTGGTGGACCAGTACCGAGGTCTATTCCTAAATTGTAAGCGAGTTCAGCATACGTGCGCATCCAGTATTTTCTTGAAGGAAGGGCCCGGAGCTCGGGGAGCACGCACCGCGCCGAACTTTGACTTTCTGTCGGGATACGTCTATGATGATAAAGAGGAATCCGGGCCTAAGGGAGGGGGGAAGGGCGGGTGGGGGGGAGGGCTCCCTTGGCTACGTCCCTGCTCTAGTAAGTAAAGCGCTAAAATATATTCACTGGTATTCTTACATTGAAACGCTGAACAATCACTGCGCAATGCAATTGTCACGCCTAACAAAACATTTTCGAAACATCCATTAATATTGTTGTTTTCGTTCCTATGACCATTCTTCAAGTAGATCTTTACGATGTTTAAAATTGACTTATCAACATTTAGGTTCCCGCTTTTCCTTAAATTTTCGACGCTTTTTGGTTTTAGAAGCAATCAGCGTTTTACTCACCTCCGTACGAATGTAGATAAGCGAGAACCTATTATATATATATATATATATATATATATATATATATATAAGACATGTGGTCGATATTGTAATAGTGAAATCCGAAATACGCTGCTACAGGAATGCCTTCTACAACATTTCACCACTACGTCATAATTATTAGCTTTTCTACGATTTTCCAGATCGTGACTGCCACGCGAAGATGGCTTTTAACACTAAACAGCGTCGACTTATTCAAAGTGCAAGCTCAACTACTAACTTCATTAATTAACCTGCTTGACCTCTATAACCTTCATTCTGGCTGGCACAGTCTAAAAGTTGCTAAGAATCTCTAATAACCATACAGACGGAAGCAATGTTTGAAACCATTTCGGAAAAAGGGAACTCAGTCTTTTGGGAGACAGTTGCTGAAAAGGCGTTCTCCCTCCTATGTATCGACTGTGCACTTCATAGAATTGAAAACCATAGCGTGCAAAAAAAAAACACTCAACCACACTCAGACGGCTCTCATGGAGCATTGTCTTCAGAGGAACAGTTGCTTTCGCAAATGTGCGCTTGGCAACACGTTCACGTACTTATGCAACACGTAAGCAAGGGGGGAAATATTTGGGATAATCATTTCGTTATAGTACCGCGAATATTTGTGATATCGTTTGTGCTCGCTCTAAGATATGCATGTCAACTGACTGTGGTGTAAGTCCTTGAGAACCACTTGATTTTGACATTTTTACAGACAAAATCATTATGGACATGTGGGTAGAAAACGCCTGGCCCGACGACTCCCCAGAGGAAAAGGAGGAAATCGTCCGCCACATCTATATGCATGTAAGTCACTTCGAGGAATATACTTCGCCGGGGGCGGCGGCAATGTACGCGTCGTCAGAGACGCGCCTCCACACAGCTTCACAAGTAGAGGACGGCCCCCACAGCTTTAGAGAGACCCAATATTGTCAAACGCATGCAAGCGTTCCGATGAAACAAGCAGGATTACCAACTCATGTAGAGAACGCTAAATGTACTTGATACATCCGTGGGGACCGGGAGGTATCCCAAGCTTAGGGCCGATGTCCATTTTTGTCCTTTCTTTCCAGTTACCACCCATACGGCTAATAGCAACTTTTCAGGAAATCGCTCAGCCCCTCTTCCCCCTATAGCCCCTTGTTCTTGCGTCTCTTTCGTTGTTGTGTCTGTTTGAAACGCAATGTTCACAACACGACTGTCACATTGCCGTGGAAATACCGAACCAAATACCGAACCACCACGCGCGACTCCCCTTGATTGGAATCCCCTCACACCGTGCACGTGTCAGAGAACACATTCGCACCTTCGGTTGGTTAACACCTGTCTTACGCATCAGCTGATGTACCGCGGCGGAAACTTTGCATCTTGTTGCGGGGGCCATTCCACCCGTATGGGGCCCGACTCCCCACCCCCTCCCGCCGGTGTTGGGCTGGGTCCCCTCAGTGAGGAAACTAGCCCACATTACCATGCGCCCGCTCTTTTAAATAGTAACAAATCCATATCTTGCAAGAGGAAAACAAATTTCACAGATAAGTCACAGTTTCAAGCGTCTCTGAAATCCCTCAGCCCCTTGCTAGCCTCGGTGGGATCGGCCGCTGAGCTGGCTCTGATGAGCCGGGCCTCTGTACTGGCTCTGGTAAGCCCGGCCTCTGTACTGACTCTGATGAGCCCGGCCTCTGTGCTAGCTCTGGCGAGAACGAAAGCTGCGCTGGGTCTGGTAAGACACGGTCCTGCGCCGGCTCTAATGGGATCGCCCAGCTAAAATGGGTTTTGCTGAACTGCTGTTCATCAAAGCCAAATTTGTATCACATGCTGTCCCGCATCATGCATTTCTGTCATGCGAGCTTTCTTAAATGCTAAGCCAGTCCGCAAATGTTCATAGGTTTTCACGAGGTTTTCATGAGGTAGGCTTTCACCTAACAGCGGGATCGGGACGGAGAATCGACGACAATATGTTGCCAATTTCATAAGTATTAGGTTACCGGGTTTAAGGCATATGGCTTTTATAAATTACCGAGTATAAGGTTAGATCATTGTTTACCGCCAACTTAACACTTGCATGATACCGCACGAGCATACAAGCAGTCCAGACATCCAGGCCTCATGCCCCGGCACACAATACGCGGTACCGTGCTGAGGGCGGTCGGAAGCGAAGCCGGCTAAGCCAAAATTTTTCCTGGACACGTGCCTGGCGTAGAACAAAGGAAATACAGCAGTGAGCGCCAGTGTTCACTTCAACGACAAGCTAACTTTTTGTAAGTGCACATAACGTAAGCATCCTTCCATCAAACCAAGTCTCAAGGCGACGTTTGTTCGCTCAGCTTCGGACGAATGTAACAAATTTGCTGCGGTTCTAGTATCCTGGAATCCGCGTTGTCTTTTGCGGCCTTTAAAATTTACGCGTCAAAGCTAGTATTTCAGGAACGTAATCCATTGCCGTGTATAGCCCTTCAACGTGTTTGTCTGGTGGATTGTACGGTCTTCGTAGACGTGCGTTTCTTAAGTGTACATTAAAACGAACGCTGCGTTGGTCACTGGAACGCTGGTCACGAACGCTGCGTTTCATTTCTCCTACATACATTGTCCGTGCGCGGACGTTTTAAGATAACTGTGCTGATGCTACGTTCTCCGTGCACATTTCTAGTTCAGCCGATTGACACATATGTGGCAAGCCCCATTCCCAGCTGGACACGCCACCATCTCGGGGCTAATCGAACTAGTATAAACTTTAAAATAGGACCCCCAGTCCACGTTGCTCTCAAGCGGTGCAAACCGCTCGATGCTATGGCAGCATTCACCTGCTTGCACACCTTAAGCATGCACGCAGCACAACTTATAACATGAAGTCAACTATAAGCGGGATATTTGCGTATCCAAAAACTGCTCCCTTTTCTACGACTTCTTAGCGAATGGGATGCATTGTTAAAGTGGGAACGTGAGTCTCCAGCGGCAGGCCTCACTCTGCATTCCAGGTATCCGCTGTCACGCCAAGGAAGGGATATTTTAACTGGCCTACACATGCATGACTGGGGATCGAAAGACACACGGCACAGCTCTCCACATTTTGACCTAAGTGCTGCCTTTTTAGTAGCCATTGGCTTGTCAAATTTCGGCCATGGTTTGTAGTAAAGTTCCGTGGTATATCTTCCATTTCAGCCTGCGCCAGACCGTTACCCTGGTGGGGGGAGCGTAGGTTACCAGCGAGCCGCCACTTCGCTGTTACGTAGGCGTACTGTGACCAGCCCTGGTCAAGGATGAAGGATATCATTCTTGAACCAAAGAAAATGCCTGCCGTCTTTTCACAGTAGCATGTTGTAGACCTGACGTCATCCATATATGGTTCGGTGGTGTTTGTTCCTGTAATCTGATTATATATTTTTACAACCCGTTGACGCTGTGGGTGTCACTTTATGTACTTTCATAGGAAGGGGCGGGCGGGGGGCGGGGGGGGGGGGTTGAGTACTCTAATGCTAACTTGAGTTTTCCCCAATGCTGCTCAGACCTCCATCATTGCATATGAGTAGAGAGAGAATACTGGGCCTAATAAATACAGAACAGTTGTCTTAGCTATTGGTATACTAGGTAGTAGGTACCTAGACATATTAATAGAAGCGTCATGCTCATTTTGTACTACATATCCTGCAAGTAGCTAAATATTTTTGTCATATAGTAGCCAGTCCGCAAGGGTTCGAAATTTTTCAAAGGATAATGCCTGTATTGGGATAAAGAACAATTGACTACAATATACGGCAGCTTTTGAAAGTACAAGGTGACCCAGATGAAAGTTAACGCATGTTTTTCCCAACAGTAACAAGTGTATTTGTCGCAAAATCATGGCTGTGGTGGTTATACAATGCGTTCAATGACAGCGGTAGTCATCACTGATCTGTTACTAAGATTAACTGATATTCTTTTTTCTGTAAATTATATCCTATTCCAAGCTTTGCACGAAATGCAGTTCACATTATCTTGAAATAAGAGGTCAATACTCCACAGGAAAGCATCTATACTTCAACATGGAGCACACAGCTTGAAGTGAACGAAATCTGGGGAGAAGTCAAGTGCGGGGGTTAGATCTAGCCAATCTTTTCGGCTGAGCTCTCAACCGAACTTAGAGGGTGACACCCGTGGTTCACAGGTTTTACAGGCTGGCAGCTTATATTTAATGACAATTTGCACGCTGGTGACATCATGATGCTACCCTTCCCCATTCCTGCCAACTGCTTTGCCGCTGCCGCTTTTGCTACGCTGCCCGTTGAGCCTGTACCCTGTGCACTTGAGCTTAGACTGATTGGTGTTCTGCCGTTACATTTGCTATATTTAGATCACAGCTCACGCACGGACGGAACGCGTCGCCCCTGGGGCTGGAGCTTTTTTGCGTGGACCACAACTCACCTGCTACTTTAATTCGGTAGGTTATGACCTTTCAGTGATAGGGTCAGCGTATCGGAGGTCAGAAGGCCCGGGTAGGTCAATAAGTGACACTCGCGAAGTGACACGATGATAAATCAGGAAGCAATGCCTTCTATTTTCTTCGGTAAGGTTACAGGACCGACCTAAACCACCCGTGGCTAGCCTCGTTTCCGTCCCGGGCAACAAAAAATGCGTGTCACCCATTCACTTCGCTCCCTTTGTTCCACGAACTGTCATCAGGCTAGTCTGGTCAAGCATAAGCAGCAGTTTTTCCCGCGAGATCCTTGACATTACGCAACAATGAAGGCCGACATGCATCATCATCTTTGCAAAGTCCGAACCGCGTGCAATGACGAGCAGGCTGATCAACCGTCCGTGCAGCATGACCTCCACCTGACCCCTGCCCGACCCCCCGCCGCGCGGCGTGTCCGACGGCCGTGTGAACGGGCGGGGCCCGCCGGAGAGCGGGGCGTGTGATCCATCAGAGTCGCTGCCGGCCGCCCTCCCGCCCACGACTCAGATGTCAGAGTCACGGGCCGTATCGTCGCCATCACGGCTGGTCACGGCCCGCGGCGGGCGTCACGATCGCGGTCAGGCCGTGTTGGCTCCCACGTACATTGCCCCATCTCTGCTGCTGTTATTTGCGATGGTTCAGGATGAAGCTGTGCTGGCCTGGATGTGTGCACTTTTTATTGGGCCCTTGGCTTATTTCGTAGCTCAACTATGCCAAAACGTGATCGGGTTTTCTAGGTTTATGCGACTAACAAGGCACTTGATTCCGACAGTGCATGTCACCATTGCAGGTGACACGAGTAAGGTGAGTTTGAATGTCTGCCCACGAAGTGAGCTATGTGATGTGGACGGCTTTGGTGCGTTGTTTCTGCTTCGATCCTGGTTGATACTGATTCCACTATGACATGGGTAACACTGGTTACGGTGTTTCAGGAGTTCCCATCGATGATGGCCAAGCCTCTGCTGTACCTACTGGAAGATGAGAATCAGACATTCTACCATGCCTATCCAAGCGGCTACGAGACAATATTCGACACGCTTGACAACTTGTCATCGATCGATGAAGTAGAATCGGCTGCTAACAACGGTATACAATGGAATCTCTTGTTCGAACGATTACCAAAAGGTGGCAGCAGTACCGAGCGCGGTCCCCTCACACAGGCGCAAATAGAAATGGAGGAGGAGGTGTTATCGACCCACATAGTTGATATGATGACTGGCTACCCGAATAAAAAGGGCAAACAGGCGCAGCCAGAAGCTCACCACAGTTAGCATATTCTCACTCTCAACAGCTGTCTAAACAGCTAAGGATCAGGCGGGCGTCAAGGTATTCCTTGAGTGCAGCATACAGTAACGTGCCCGCATCCGTACTGCCAACAGTGAGGCGGTTTCAGCGCAAATAGATGACGTCGTATTTATATCAGTCTTGAAAATAAATTTGCAGCTATGTTTGTTTGGCAAGCTTGGTTTGCCGATATTTAAGTAGACTGGTGGCGGTCCGAAGACCTCGGTCCCTTGGGCCACGCCACGGCTGGGCCATTGGGTTACTGGTCGACTCATGCAGTGTCCACGGGCTTCGGCGCCGCCGCCGCTGTTGGGAACCAAAGCCAGTGCAAACTGCCCGGCCCAGGCCGAATGGAAGGGGCGGCCAATTGAAGCTTATGGGCGCACGGGACTAAGGCGGAGGGACGCATTGTGTGTCGCCACATCTACACCAATGGGAAAGTCCAAGAAAATGACGGCCGGCTGTGCACCCACCGCACCTGCTGTATGTCTGGGCTATCTGCGTCCAGTGTCATGGCCAAACATCGTCAATGGAGCAGTTTTGTGAAAGAGCATGCGTTACTGAGCTCAGCCATGCTATGTGGGAAATAGACATCTGAAATGATCTAGAATAAACTAGCGACGGGAATTATCATACTGCCCCTGCGCTGCCAGGAAGCGGTGGGCACGAAGAACAGCAACGAAGTCATCGTTTATTTATTACTCAATCATAAATAGTTTAATAAATAAGAGAAGACATACAACATTAGGACACCAAAAAAAACAGTAAACATAACATACCTAATGTTTGTCGTGACAATATGTTTGTAAGCCTGAATATAACGGAGAACAACAGGCCAAAAACAAAAGAGCTTAGAAACATAACAAATTGCATAACACAGACAAGCTGGTTATTTTGTTAGTGTGCTGGTAATGCCTACAATCGGTGTCTATAAATTACACGTTGCTTCATAGTCTGACACCTGTGTGAAGTGTCAAATTGAGCAAAAAAATCAGAGTACTGTCACTGCACGATCCCGAACGCGCTACATCAGGTGCACGTGCGTCATTTTGAATCTGCAGCTCTTCGAGCGCACGTCGGTCGCAGTGCACCTGACTTAATGAACGCGCCCACTTAATAAACAACAGGCATACATATCAAGCATTCGTCAAATGTCAGCTAAAATGAAAATGTCAGCATTAAACACTCAAAGACTTGAATGAGCCATTATACCTAACTGGTCGTTACAGAACTTGATAGACAGCATAGTACCTAATCCTGTGCTCAGATTTATCATGCAATAGTCACAGGACTAAATCTGTTCTCATGGGTTATTCATCGAGAATATTATGTAAACGATCCCGGAAGTGCAAGCATTGCAGGCAAAGCCAAGGAGCAAATGAATTCGTCCACGTGCACCATTCTTCTGCGTCTGTGCTGTCCCACTCACTCACGTCTCAGGGCGTTTCATAATGATCAAACCTAACCGTGCCATCCTCCCAAAAGGCATCTTGAAGTAATGTCGCTAACGGTGGACATCACCTGAGCCTTCCAGGTGTTGATTGGCTGAGACAAGCGGACTGCACTTGTCTCAGCCAATCAGCGAGTGAGCAATGAGTCCGTCTCCGCGTCACTGATGTCAGCTGGCCGATGCCTCAACCAGTCACTTCCGTCAGTTGCCCGGTGGCTCTGCCAGTCTTTACGGCTGCGCTGCTCCTGGGCGTAATTTTGACGTCGGTCTTCGTCTCACGTGTCAGTCGCCCCAGCGTCCCCGCCCCGACACGTCAGGTCACCGCGTCGGGGCGGCCCGGCCGCTGGAGAGCGCCGTATCTGGACGGACCACCCCTGAAAGCAACTGCGCCGGACGACAGCGTTGCATGCTCGAAAGGCGAGAGGACCAGCGCCGCTTCTAGGCCGGAGCCGCCGCCGATGGGGGGTCACTGCCACGGCCGGCCTCTGCCACCGACGGAGTCATGTGACGGACGGCTGGGTGCGGCAGGACAGCTCACTTGAGCGCACGGCCGGCTCAGTGCGCCGGCTGGAACCGTTGTCGGATGAAGCCCACCATGTTCCAGTCGCGCAGCGGTACGGCTGCCGGCTGCCGACTCGAGTCCTTCTGCACCTGCCTGTGGTGGCAAAGGAAGCCGGCCACCAGCACCGAGATGACTGCGCACATGGCTAGCAGCACGAACAGTGCCGAGAAGCCGGCCGCCGGCAGACAGATGCCGTACACGATGTCGTCCCGGATCTGGCCCTGGAAGATGGTCACGCGCTGGTTGTCCTCGTAGGTCGGCTCGAACTGCAGGTCATTCTCCGAGATGACCTCGAGCGTGGAGGCGACGCCGATGTCGGCCGACTTGGCCGCCGGCTCGTCGACTACGAAGCGGCGTCGCCGGATCTTGAGCTTGCGCGGTCCCCAGGGGAACTCGGAGCGGTCGACGCCGCCCAGGCCGGCGTCAGAGGTTCGCACGGCCTCGGCCGGCGTGTCGGCCGCGGCAGGAGCGCGACGCCGCCTCCGCGTGTCGACCGTCCGTGTTGAACGGCACCGGGATCGCCTGCGGCTTGCCGATGACGTCATGCGTGCTTGGTGCGATCAGCACCGGCTGGTAATGCGCCGGCAGCGGCGGCAGGTCGGCCGGCATGTCCATGCGGTTGATGCCGTCGCGCGGCGGCAGCGGCAGTGGGATGCCGCGGATGGTGTGGCCGCCGCCGCCGGGCCGCACCAGGTCCACGCGCTGGTGGAGCGGCCGGCGGCCGGGCCGGCGCCGCAGCGGCGGCTGGCGGCGGCGCGCTGGGCCGCGGAACCCGCCCGGCACCGGCTTCGGCTTCAGCTTCCGCTTCGGCTTCAGTTTCGGCACGGCCACGACCGCCTGGGGCCGCGCCGGGGCGTAAGCGTCGGCGTCGGCGGGCGCGCTCTGCAGGTGCTCAGACGCCGGTGCCAGTGCTGGTGCCGGTGCCGACGCCGGCGCCGGCGCCGCCTGGTACTCCTCCTCCAGCTTGGCCTGCACCACCACCGGCTTGCGCGGCTCGGCCGCCGGCTGCGACTCCTCCACCGAGTTGGAGACGACCGGGTCGTAGTTGGAGCCGGCGGCGACCAGCGGCGCGCTAGGTGCCGCGTAGCCGCCGGCCACGGCCTTCTGACAATGGTCGGGACAGCCGTACCGGCAGATCTCCACCTTGCACTTGAGGTGCACGTACATGCTGTCGGGGAACTTGAAGGCGTGGAAGTGGGCGTAGGTGATGACGGTGGAGCGACCGTCGTTGCTGCGCAGCTTCATGAACTTGCTGATCATCTTGGGCCGCAGCACGCAGCCAGTCCTGGTCGGAGAGGTAGATGGGCCGGCCCTTGCCATCCGACGCCTCGCACTCCTTCACCCGCATGTCGAACTCGGCTGAAGGCAAATGCTAGGGTTAGCCGCACAGGATTAACCACCAACAGCGATTGCATATCTACACAACGGCTGCTGAAGCCAATCTACGTCTGCAAATGTCGGAGGCGAAGCCTCCTCTTGATTGTGCTGCTTTAAAGCGTGGACTGCTCCAGTACGAGGCATTTGGATCTAATCACTGTGGACCCACTTACCTTCAACCATTCCGTTGATTTTACTGCAGTTTTAAATGTTTCGTTTATTGCACGCCATTGAAATAAACCCAATAGGATCACGGCCCCCTAGGTCGCGAAGTGCGTGCCTAGCTCCATTAATTAAGCATGATAACCACTTGCCACCAGTACCGAACATTAAAAAGCCCTTAAACGGGAATGAATAACCAGGGCTGTTGATCCTTGATCGGCTTCGGCGTACTCATGCGCCCGATAGTCTGTTTAGGCCGCCGCTTCCTCCCTCACTCACCGTTGGGGTCGTTGATGGCCACAACCATGGTCAGCGTGGATCCCAGCGGCACAATGCCGGTCACTGGACTGGCCCACGGACCCTTGCCGTCCTGAATCTCCATCCAGCAATCCACATTGTCTCCTGGAAAAGGCGTCAGCATCACGGTGAGTCACGCGCAGAACGACACTGTGCCCTCCACGCAGATAGAAGCAGTAGCCTTATATAGCGTGTAAGTCATTGCAAACATATTTGGGCTTCTGCTCCACCTTCATCGACTAGATGTCCGAGTAAATGGAATCCACGCGCGATCGCTACAGCAACTGCTGATCGTCAGCTCGCACCACGAGGGGTCGTATTAGAGGAAGCACAAGGTGGTCTTCTCTCGAGTTTTCTCCTGGCTGCCAGGCTTTCGACCTGCGTGAAATAACTACCTAGGGACCGCCAGCATGCCCAGAAAAGCAAACAAACCAAACGGAGAGGGAACAGCCACAGTAGACAAGGCGACTTAGGCAGCACGTGAATAACAGTGATAGTCTACTTGGTCACTAACTATTGGTCTCTGAATTACATCTATTATCATCATCTATATCCTTTCTATGGGTACATCTATATCCTTTCTATCCTTTCTATGGATCCAATAGCACGGGCGCAGGGTGTATATAAGTCAGAAAGCCGTTAACTTGGATGGGCTTGGACACCGAATGGAGTACACCACCTAATGGTCTTCCCTGAAGTGAACGCAGTGCACAATACGCTCATGCTCAAAGTAGCACACACGCCGGGCAGGAAATGGACGGACTGGCAGGTTGAGGTCGACTACTGCGACATCGTGAGATTTGCATTACGAAAGCCAAGTGACGTTGCAATGCGCTTGGACTTAAAACGTAAGGACTCTGAAGTATCTCTTCTGTGATATATCACTTAAGGAAGCGAGGTGATGGTGAAATGCTCTTCATATGTTTGCTATCCTTTACCGGCAAGAAGGCAAGTCATCAAAATGAGCCACAACTATGGGTCCCGGCACCTTCCATTTCCGACGTACTCGCTCCTTGCCGAACAGGATACACAAAATCGTTTTGCTCGGCATCTTTATTAAAGCTCTGCATGCCCTAGATTTACATACAAAGTCGCCACAATCGCCCAGGGAACGAGCGTTGCGGACCAAACTTAATGACATCACAGGTCTAGGTCTCAGGAGTCCACTGGCCCGCTAGTACCTGGAGTGGGAGCAGAGGGGTAAGATGATGAAGAGACCCGGCGATGAACAAGCATCAGAGCGGACACGAATTAACGCCCAGAAAGTATGTTTCTCTTCCGTGAGCTTCAACAAGATTGGAATAATCTTGCCGACCAAAAAATTTATCAAATTACATTGCCCAATCTGGGTACCTCTGCAGCGACGGCGGCACTACGGTACCACTGGCGGCCCATTCAGAAGGGATGGAAGCCAAGCACCGGCCGAGCGCCATACTCGACGGCGGCGAACTCTGCCCCCGAAATAAATCAGGAAGTCGAGCGGAAGATGGATGACGGCGGGCGCCCCAAAACGAGCCAGCCATTGGTCCGCCAACCAACACACACGAGAGTGATGGCGCTGGCCGGGCGCGGGGAACGGAAGTGCAGCCTGACTGACCTCCGTCAGCGTGCGGGATCACAAGTAGAAAGCCATGCATTTTAACTGCGATTTTACGCTCTGTTAGTTCGGCCACGTGTGATTCTGACCTCTCATCATGACATCAAACGCGACGCACTTGATTTTGATGGCGTAAAGAAGGTCCGTAATATGGGTATCCT